ACATTAAATGCCCTCCCCTGATTATGAGATTGATGACTGAATTATATAGCCCTCATCCAGCAGCTGGTGGAAGTAGAAGCAGACACCCACAACTAATCACTGAACTGAACTGGAATCCAGATGCAGAGAAGGACGAGTAAAGAGCAAAGGGGTCCAGACCAGCCTGGTGAAACCCACAGAAACAGCTGACCTAAACAACGGGGAGCTCTTGGTCCCCAGCCTGATACCTACCAGACCAGCATGGGACTGATCCAGACCCCAGGAACATGGGTTTCAGTGAGGAAACCTCGGAAATCTACAGGACCTCCTGTAGTAGTTCAGTACTTATCCCTAGCATAAGTGTGTACATTGGGAGCCCATTCCACATAGAGGACTACTCCCCAAGCCAAGACACAGGGGATGGGCCTATGCCCCATCCCAAAGGCTATGATAGACTCTGATGACACCGTATGGAAGGCCTCACCATCCAGGGGGAGCAGAAAAGATATGTGATAGGTAGGGTTTTATTTGGGAGGAGGGGTGTTAGGGGAGGAGGGGGAGAGGAAACTAGGATTGTCATGTAAAACAATCTTGTTTCTAATTCAAATTAAAAAAGAGAACTATCTAACAGTACAACTTGTGTAAATTAAATATCTGGACAAAATAGGGTGCATTTTTAAAAAGACACAAAAACTGACAGCATGATGCACTTTTTAAAGAGTAAAGGTACTAAAAAGACAGAATGGTAAATAAAAGGAAAATTTGGGGTGCTGGTTGTAGTTCAGTTATACAGCAATTACTTCACATGTACTAGATAATAAAACCCTAAGTTGTATTCCCCATTACTGCAAAATAATAATAGCATAGGGCTTGAGGTATAACTAGTAACAGAGTATTTGCCTATCATATGAGGATTTAGTTCCTCTCCCAGGACCACAGAAAAGGGAAGCAGAAAGGTGTGGTGGGGTGTGATATAAAGCTGGTATCAGACAGACTTCATCTTAAGCAAATGGTCAAAGTTAGCACTCCTGATGGAATGCATCCATATAAATGTGCCTGTAGCTAGAAGACACTTAAGGGTATAGCTTCTGTGTAACTGCCCGTGTGTAACCCAAAGTTAAGCAGGGGTCATCTGCGCAAAATGAGGGGTAGTCTATGAAATAACTGTCCTCTATCCCTCCAAAATGTCCGTTATGACAGACAAAGGAAGGATGTGAACCTGTTTCAGGTTCAGGACTACAGATCTGGTGACTAAGAGTGGAACTACAGATGAAATGCTCAAGTAGAAACAGGACAAGTGAGGTGAGCACAGAAACCCGAAGGAGACATGAACCCCCATGTTAATTTTGCTTTCTATCATGAACACATGATATTGGCATCTGGAGCATTCAGAGCATATTGGAACCATCTATACTAAAATTTCTGGTGTAATTAACAAAGTGAATTTTACCAACTCCAAGAGTCCAATCCCCCAATCTGGGAGGCTGAGGCAGAAGGTCTGCCACAAGTTGCAGACCAGCCGGAGACATATGGCAATCCATTTCAAAAATAAAAAGGAAGGAAGGAAGGAACGAAGGAAGGAACGAAGGAAAGAAGGAAGGCAGGCAAGCAAAAGGTGCAGGTTAGGGTGCTCACTTTTTAGGGTACAAAGATTTACAACATCACCAGAACATTAATTCCATACCCCTTTCATCACTCCAAGAAAGCAAATTCTGTTCTAACTGCAGTCACACCTCACCCCTTCTATCCCTAGGTGCCGAAAACCCTGTCTCTATTTTGTGTCAGTAGGATTGTACAGTATATGGCCTTTTGTAACTAGATTTCCTCACGGAGCATGATTTTAAAGTTCACCCACATTGTAGTCTAAATTTCTACTGTTCTTTTGGTTTTCTAAGATTGGAGACTCATGTGCCCAGTCTGGCCTTGAACTCCAGATCATCTTATCACCATCTCCTACTCCTATCAGACCCAGTTTATACTTTCTTTTATGGCTAAATGATATTTCAGTTGATGGGCATTGAAGTTATTTCTATCACTTGGCTGTATTAAATACTAACAGCACTGTTAATATGCATACATGTATTTGATTTTGCTTTCATTTCTTTTGGCCATATACCTAGCAGTAGTGACTGCTTATTATTTTTTTTTAACAATCACTTTTGGTGGCATTTAAGGTAGTCATCAATCTCATTATAGGGGAAGGGCATTTAAGGTACCTTCTCCACTATTGCTTAGATTCTTAGTTGGGGTCATCCTTGTGGATTCTTTGGAATTTCCGTAGTGCCAGGTTTCTCATTAAGCCCATAATGGCTCCCTCTACCAAGGTATCTCTTTATTTGCATACCTCTGTTCTTTCCCAAACTCAACCTTCCTGATCTCTAATGTTCTCCTCTCCCTCCCCTCCTCCACTCCTCTTTCTCCTACTTCCCCCCCCCTCCCTGCATGCTCCCAATTTACTCAGGAGGTCTTTTTCCTTTCCCCTTCTCCGGTGGGTCCATGTATGTCTCTTAGTGTCCTCCTTGTTTCCCAGCTTCTCTGGGGTTGTGGATTGTAGGCTAGTTATCCTTTGCTCTGTATCTAATACGACCTTCCCCTATAATGAGATTGATGACTACCTTAAATGCCATCCTAGAGCTTCATCTAGTAGTTGATGGAAGCAGAAGCAGAGATTCACACAGCTAAGCACTGAGCCTGGAATCCAGTTGTAGAGAGGGAGGAGTGATGAGCAAAGGGGTCAAGACCATACTGGGGAGACCCACAGAAACAGCTGACCTAAACAAGTGTGAACTCATGGACCCCAGTCTGAAAGCTGGGGAACCTGCATAAGACCAAACCAGGTCCCCTGAACATAGTGTCAGTTGGGGGGGCTTGGGCAGTCCATGGGGCCACTGGAAGTGAAACCGGTATTTATCCCTAGAGCCCAAATGGACTGTGGGAGCCCATTCCACATGGAGGGATACTCTCTCAGCACAGATACATGAAGGATATGATATGACTGATTTTGATGATCCCCATGGAAGGCCTTACCCTCTGAGGAATGGATGGGGGTAGGAATGGGGAGATGGTGGAGGACAGGAGCAGGAACTGTGATTGCTATGTAAAATGATTCTTAATTTAAATAAAAGCTATTTTTAAAAAAGAAATGCTTTGTGAAGGTGTATCATTTTAAGTTCCCACTAGCATTTCTTAGTGTTTATATTTTGCAATACATTTTATACCTATACATATATGTATATCTCTCCAGGTTGGTGGGCTTCTCACTTCTAGACAAAGCATGCAAACATTTGGTCTATTTGTTCCAGGGGTCTCACAGAGACAAGGGGGGAAAGTTGGAAAAAGATTAGTCTCTCATCATTTGTACCCTTTAGATAAATGTCATACATGTCTAGTTTAATGACACCAGCTGTGTGTCTACAATTCAACTCAATTTTGTACCTTCTAATTGAAGCTAGCACATTGCAGGGCTCAATCTCACAGGCATCCTACTTCAAATGTTAATTGCTTGTTGCCATTTATACTTCTCCATCGAGCTATGTATGTATCAGGAGTTTCCAGGACACCTCATGCTGGGGAAGTTGTTATGTAGCTCACAGAACCCAGGGAAGTTTACTTACCATTATTCATTTATATAAGGGATCCAAAGAAGGAAGAGCCCAACTGGCCATGTACATGGTAAGAAGTGTTGGAAGACACCTGGCTTCCATTCCTGTCCTAGGTCACGTTCTCAGTACCATATCCACCTACTAATCTAGAGGCTTTCTGTACTTCAGAGTTGGAGGATGTTCCATTATATTTATGACTAATCAGGCATTAATGATTGCTGTCATCTGAATGTCACCCCCCCATTCATGTTGAAACTTGTGATCAGAAGTGTAACAACAATAAGAATTTAAAAATGTGATTAGATTTGCTGGAACAAGATGTTAAGGGCTACTGGGGTAAAAATAAGTGTATTTCACAAGTGAAAAGGACATGAATGAGGGATGGGGCTAGGAGAAGAGTATCATGGTCTAAATATGTCCCATATGAAACCCAATGTGAAATACTGAGGTAGGGTATTCAGAAGGTTGACTCCATGCTAATAGACATGATTAGGACTTGATGGATGGGTTTCTTTATATGAACAGTGTTCAACTCCTCACCTTTTTACCACATGAATAAACACCAAGAAGGTAGGTATCAGACAACAAATGTCAATGTCTTAAAACTTGGAGGTGAAAATGTTTTCACCCTGGAGGTGACAAGTCTTAGGTATTTTGTTATAATTGCACAAACTGAGTAGGACAATGATCACTGGGTTGGGAGGAGATTGTAGTAATGGCTCAATTATACGTTTGAAGCATGTCTGGGTTCCACATACAATACCACTAGCATGAAAAATAAAGTCACCTATTCAGTCTGAAGAACAAGGGCTTGAAGCTCCAACCTACTAACCATATTTTGGTGGTTTGGGCATTTAGCCAACTTCTGGAAGCCAACCATGCCCCTGCCTCTCATTGATTAGCATATATTGGGTCAGTGCTCTCAACTCTAAGTGATCTTAGAGGTTACTGTGTGAGAGATAGTCCAATTACTGCAATAAAAGATGCTCCTAAGCATCTTTATCAATCGGGAAAGTACAAGGGCTTCAGAAACTGGACATGAAGTCTGAATATGTATTTCCTGCTATATCACTATATTTGGCCACACTTAAGAGGATCCATCCAGTATTGCTGTGTCACTTTGGAGAAGGAAATGAAACCTTGGGTATGAAATTCTTTACATCTGGTTCCACAGTCAACACTTGGTTTAGTGATAGGCAAACAACTTCAAGGAAATTCATGGGTGCAGAGATGGAAGACACTATACTCTTGAAAACTATCAAGAGGGTTTTATAGTTATGAGTTTAATTAAATAAGCCCACCTTGTAAGGAGCCATTCACTACACTTAAATGTTGTCAAATATCTGAACCGTAAGGGCACAAAATAGAGGATGGAATGAACTAGTAGGAAAGGAAAACTCATACAGAACAGACAGTGCAATCTTTTAAAAATTCTAAGCCATTAGCTTTATTTTTATTGAATGCAGCATGGGGTGACAAAAACACATTATATTACCATCATTGGTAATTAATTAATTACAGAGGCACTGATCTTTACATCATCTGTATTCCTTTTCTAAGTTTTATTTAAGTCATATTAATATAAAACAGTATAAACAATTAACACATTTACAATTAAAACTTCTATTCCTCCAACTGACAATTTCAGCCAGAACTGCTACTTAAAAAAATACCCATGAATTTAAATTTAGTTATCTGAAGAATAGGCAAACAAACCACATTGTAAAAGTTGTGTTTCTTAGAAGCAATTTCCATTCTCACACCATAGAAAGCCATGCATGAGCTCAATGTCTAAGTTGCTTGTCTCGTCCATTACACAGCTGCTCTTCTGCTTTCAGAAGGACTCGTTAGCAGTAGTGGACAGTTCAATAAATTCCAGGGTGCACTTTCAGGGAACTAATGATGTAGTGAGATGGTGGAATAGAGTAAAATGTTCAGATTCTTTGAGATAGAAGATTCCTTCATAAAAGATTTGGGACAATGACGAAGGAGAAGAGAAATAATCCAGGCCCCTGCAGGTGGAAGAGAAAGCAAAATGAGGAATAGCGAGGTAGGGGAGCAGTGTCATAAGGTGCTTTACTTCCTGTCTGCAATAACAAATAGAAAGCATTTCATTATAACATGATCAATCTTATCTTTGGTTTCTGCAGTTGACACGGCTGGCGTGGGAGACTGTTTTGGATGAAATCACAATGAAACCATTAATTGCTAAGGTGATCAACTTTGTGGAGATTCTTTCCTCTATTCTTTCCAATGTCACAAGTCACACTCATAGTGGCTCCTAGAAAAGTAACTCAGAAATATTAGAGATAAAACATTGATGAGGTGGCCAATGGAGAATTGCTTCCAGGTAGCCTGAAACCCAGCAGACAATGTAGCTGTTGCCTAATAAACACAGAAATCTACATTGTATGCCAGGTTCATGCCCCAGACCTGGATGTTCGACCTGCAAATCATCCATGCAAATGACTGTTTTAATCACAATGTCTAAATTGTTATGCTCCTTATTTACCACAGAGAAAGGAAAACAGAAGTCACAATTGCTGTCATTTTCCTGTAGATGAAATTTCTCCAAATAACTCTATTGGTTGTCAGTCATCGGCTGTTTTTAAAATGCCCTTCAAGCGTGAAGAGATGTATGGACTCACAGACAGGGAAGGGAATGGATATCAAGTTAGGTATATGATACATAGACAGCTATATAGAAAAGGCTGTCTTCATGGGGGAAAGAGAGGGATAACGAGGAAAACTAATCAATGGCTCAAACATCCTTAGCAGTGTTAAACACTGAGATCTCATCATTCATGAAACACTGATGACTTCCCAAACACAATGAATAATGAAAGACTAGACTCTGAAAACTGTGTGTTTTACTCCAGATAGAGCTATCATTTCAATAACATTGCTATGGGTATCATTAACTGAAGCCAGATGATGCCACCAGAGACCCAGTAGCCAGATGTAGCTGCTGATTACCAAGGACAGGATCTACACTGGCTACTGAGCCACTGAGGGCACCCTAATCCTTCTGAGAGCAAGACATTTTGTGGCCTTCTTAGGAGACTCTGTGGAAGAAAAGAAGTCAATTACAGAAACTAATAAAACAATACCAAGAGTTTTCATTTGGGTGTTTTTCTCAAGTTGTGAATATATGCAGCTCTTAACCACTTCTAGATTCACTTACAGAAAGTTACTAATAAGTAACCTTTACAAAAGTATTCAATAGTAGCACCTCATCAGTTTGTCTGTTCTAAGCTGTCCCCTTTAAAACAATACAGGTATAAATTACTAGCTAGGTAAGTTCCTTGTTGATTGAGTCACTCATTTTTCTTTCTGTAAATAGTTAGAAACACTTTTATAGAAACACTTCATATAGAAAAGTGGAATATAAAGATACAACTTTGAACACAAAGACCCCTGACTCTTGGAACTAAGAATTAGAGATGACAATGAGGGTAAGGAAAAACATGAAAAGAATCCAGCAGGTATGCAGTCATTTCTTAAAATAAGTAGTTGAAAGTAATAGTACTGTTTTTAAGATAGCTGAGGAATATGTATGTGGCTGAGGGCCTAATAACCATAGAGCTTGGGAAAAGAGGGGCATACATATTATCTAGGGGAGAAAAAGGACCCTGGGGGAGTGAAAGAGGCAAATATCAAAGGCATCAATGAACTCTATCTCTGTATTTGACTGCCACAGGCAATCACGGATTTCTGTATTTAGGATCACTTTGAAACTTAAATGTAAAGAACTATGTGACTTTGCTCCAAGCACATATACCTTAGAGTCCTGCCTTTTTTATGATTTTAAAATTCTGCATCGCTGGGCGGTGGTGGCACACGCCTTTAATCCCAGCACTCGGGAGGCAGAGGCAGGTGGATCTCTGTGAGTTCGAGACCAGCCTGGTCTACAAGAGCTAGTTTAGTTCCAGGATAGCCTCCAAAGCCACAGAGTAACCCTGTCTCGAAAAACAGAACAAAAAAAATATAAAATCTGCATCATTCACTTAGATTCCAGAGGGTTATCATCAAGAAGAGAGCTCTCAAAGGCTTACAAGTTTCAATTGGTACAAGTTCAATGGGCATGCAGCTGGACCATAGAATGATAATCAAATACATGCACAAGCAAGAAAAGTGACTCATTACAATATTGTTAGTGGTAAGAAAACACAAGCAGCTTCCTGGGAGCCACAGTATGCTTGGCTCTGTTTGGGAGAGCAGGGGTGGGATTGACAAGGGAAGTAGGCTTGTTTGATTGCTTGTTTTTCCCCCTTTTAATAATTACTAACTAACCTTATCTATTAGTTATATCTTAGCATTCTCTACAAAGGAGAACGCACAATGAGATGAGGGGGAAAAAAGAGCATTTTCTCAGTTTTGGCCAGCTCTTAGCCTCACTGTAAAATAAAGCATTTACAGAGCATACAACCACATCTCATAACACTCTACAACAATTCTTAATCACCCTTTATAGAGGTGATTATAGGCAAGGGTTTATTTTGGTTAGTTCCAATGCCAAGATTAAACGGATGCTCATTTATAAATCCTAGTCCATTTTAGCTACAATCTGCAGACTCAGAGAGATCAGGTTTGGAAGAAAGAACTATGGGGGAAGGGAGACACACATTGATCTCCCTGGAAGGGGGGAAATTAATATATTTCATGGGTAGCCTGAGAGGACAAGAATGGGAAGGAGGGGAGGGAGGGTTGAGGAAAGGAATACAGGGAGATACAGATAGAATTGAGGGATTGGAGGTGGTATGGAAACCTTCTTCAGTGTAAACTGTAAAACATATGAAGGTGATTTGAATGAAGTCTTGAAATAATAGGGGAGACAGTTTTAACTGGCCATCTCTTGCCACGAAACAAAGTTTCCAGAACTGGAAATGGGTTAAATTCAACTGAGTTTTGGCCAAAGTGGCCCCACGGGAATGCCCAAAACAAAAGTTGTTACAAAGAATAAGTTGCTGTCCACAAACAGATAGCAAGGCCCCATTGCTGAAGACAACACACATATTTCATTGAGGATGGACAGGTCAAGCTGGTGCCTACATAGAACCATTGCCCTCATATTCTAGAGTCTGACATAGAAAGACACTCTGTAGGTCACCAAAGGAGAAATGTAAATACCAACCCTACCACAAAACCTTTAATCTACAATCTGTCCTGCCGGCAAAACTTATACTAGGGCAATGGTGCCACAAACCTTGTGGGAGCATCACCAATGTCTGATTTTATTTTATTCCATGAGATGGAGCCCATACTTAACACTGCTTGAGTAACCCCAAACCAGAGCCATAGCCCAGAGACCTAGCGTAAAAGCCAAATATTGCTAGTCTTCAAAAAAAAAGAGTGATAAAATGACTCATAATGTTATTCTGCTATACTGAGGCCTTATTCAGCCATCAGAGAAGCTTCCTACTGCAGCAGACAGAAACAAATACAGAGCCCAACAGCCAGATATCACACAGGGAGAAAGACCTCAGAACATACAACTTAAAATGGGCTGTCTTCATCTAGTTCCTCCCTGTCAAAGCTCAGGGAACCCTATGAAAAGAGGTGGAAAGAGCGTAAGAACAAGAGCAGATGGAGGACACAAGGAGAACAAGGCAACTGGGCAAAGCTCACATGATCTCACAGAGACTGAAGCAGCTAGCACAGGGCCTACATGGGTCTGCATATATACTCTAACTTTCAGCTTAGGATTTTTTAAAGAAACTTCTGAGTGTGTAAACAAGCATGTCTCTGGTGCTTTTACCTTCACTTGGGGCTCTTCCCTTCTGCTGCTTTCCCTTGTCTAACCTTGTAATGGTTTTTATTTAACTGTCATGTTTTTGTTGTTATTTTTAAAAAGTGGATCTGGATGAGAAAGGAGGTGGGGAGGAACTGATTACAGCCACCCCTGATTATAGATACCCCTCACTCTAATCAGGATATATTGTATGAGAAAGAATCTATTTTCAATAAAAAGGAAAAATTGAAGGGGAGGCCATGGATAAGTATGTAATCAAAATGAATTACATGCATACATAAAATTAACAATAAATTATTCAGAATAATTAATCCTATTGTGATGAAAATATCAAAGAAGATGGAAAAATTTCCCTAAACCGGGTATTTAACACTTATATCGCAAATGAGTGAATACAAAATGAATTTTAGTCTATCTTTAGATTAGAAAAGTGAGTTTTAATTCTATCCTCCAAATTCAATGTATTTAAAAAACTAATATTAAAATATTCTTTCCTTTTCTTTTTAATTTATATAGGCAATATATGATGAACAACTATAAATAAACTTCATTAAAGGTTACTCCATTAGTACCCAATCACTAACCAACTCAACAGTGAACACCTTCACAGGGAATTTTAAATAACAGCACATTTTCAAAGTTTATGAATAAAATTCAAAGAGAAGAAACATTATTAAACTACAAAGTCAAGTTACATAATTTCATTACCTTGTAATTAAGCCCCCATATGAGAAAGAACTGTAACCATGGGATCCACTGCTTGAATCCAATCCACACCACAAAGGAACAAAACACAAACAATTAACTCCCTTTTGGCTGATGAGCATTAACATGTGGTGGGAAAGAGTTTAAAATTGAAGCAAAGACTCATTAAAAGCTAAGTCTACTATCTACTGCCAGAGAGCCTACTTTGAACTGGGACTGACCCTATTACTTACAAAATTACCCTAGAATTTGAAGCACAGCCTCCACAGTTAAAACAGGAGCATCCTACAGGATGAACCAGGAAGAAACTTATTGAAACTGAAAGCAAAGTTGCCAGATAGAGAACTACACTTGCATCAAAGTTTCCACTAGAACTGAAAGAAATGCTGCTTCTTGGAGGGGTATTCAGATAAATGGAGAATAGAATCACCCCACCTCTTTTGAAGGTTTTATCCCTCAGGTAATTCTATTTTGCCTTCAAAAAGTATCCATAACTTTAGAAATGACAGCTCTAGGGAGAAATTCTGATCCTAAAGACTATACGGGAAGTAAATGCAGAAGAAACAGCTACTTGAACAGCATTGGCAGAAGGAGGTTTTCAAATTGTTCAAAGGACTTTTTAAAACTTAAAAGAAAATAATCGTTCTTTTAAAAAAAGCTTCTTGTGGGGATGGGGATGAAGGGAAGGGAGAAGAGAAGGGGTCAGGAGACCATTAGGGCAGGAAGATGGAGTGGGGAGGAATAGAGAAGTGCGAGTAAAGACACACATCAACAGAGGGAACCACTATAGATTTAAAGAGAAATCTGGCACTAGAGAATTATACAGAGATCCATAAGGATGACCCTTACTAGGACCCTAAGCAACAGTGGAGAGGCTACCGTAAATGCCCTTCCCCTATAATGAGATTGATTACTACATTAAATGACATCATAGAGCCTTCATCCAGTAGCTGATAGAAGCAGAAGCAGACATCAACAGCCAAGCACTGAGCTGAACTCCTGGAATCCAGTTTCAGGGAGGGAGGAATGATTAACAAAGGGATCAAGACCATGCTGGGGAAACCCACAGAAATCACCTGACCTGAGCAAATGGGAGCTCATGGACCCCAGTCTGACAGCTGGGGAACCTGCATAAGACCAAACCAGGCCCCCTCAACGTGGGTGTCAGTGGTAGATACTGGACAGTCAGTGGGGCCTGACAATGGAACTAGGATGTATCCCTAGAGCACAAATGGACTTCTGGATCCCATTTCCCATGGTGGGATACTCTCTTAGCCTAGATACACAGGGGAGGGCCTAGACCCTGCTCCAAAATAACTTGGCAGATTTTAATGTTCCCTCATGGAAGGCCAACATCCCTGGTGAGTGGATGGAGGATGGGATGTGGGGTCGTTGAGGGGGATGGGAGGATGGGATGGAGGGAACTGGAATATGTAAAATAAGATTGTTTCTAATTTAAATAAACCCCATAAAAATGCTTCTAAACACTTTAGTTCTGTAATTACATGTCTCCAGAAGCCAGCCCAGTGGCATGTAACATTTAGTGTACGTGCTAGCAGCTTTCCATTAACTTAAGGATGCAGTCGAGTTCTGTCACAAACACATTTATGGATCTGAAAGAGCACAAGCCAGTCCATGACTTTAACACCATCACCATTTAGATGGGCTTTATGTCAAATGTTCTTTAAAAATAGACATATATATATGGAGGGGGAGACAAGGGGAGCAGGAGAGAAACAAACTTTGGGAGGCACTGGGCCTGTGATTACCTTGATTATGGGTGATTGGGGTCACAGCATCACAGGTGTTTACATATGTCCACACTCAAAGTACCCACGGAGTATGTGCTGTTCTTTGTTTACCACACTTCAATAAAGCTGTTTAAAATAAAAAAAAAAAACATGTGCTTCTCAAATGGTAAAGAACAAAAAAAAAACTCTAATTAACACTAAGTATAGACCAGGAAAGTAATGCATTCATATACGCAGTGTGCCACAGGGTTAAATTATTCTGGAGGAGAAACCAGCCTTTTAAATACAGGTGTCTAATTAAAGTGCATTCCTGGGAACTTAGATTCCTTCTGCATTATGTTAGAGCACTTGAATTAGGCTATCACCATAAGCAGGCACGTGGTGGCAGCCTGTCTAACTCTTGCATACCTGAGGTCCTGTGACTACATTGACCAAAAACATTTATACCAGCTGATGGTCACTTGATCCGCACATCTCTATTTAGTAAATTGTTCTACAAGTCAACTTGAAGTTTGAGGTGAACATTTTCGGGAACATTCCTATTCAAGACAATTTAAAAAAGACATTCTCTGCCAAATAATTCTAGCCTGAACAGGCCTGGGAAGGTTTTGGGTTGGCACAAGATCCTAAGCATGCTTCTAAAGGCGAAACCTCTTCCAGATAATAAAGACAGACTCAGACTAGTTTTTGAAAATAATATTTAACAATGAGATACATGCCTTTAATCCCTCTGAGTGAAAAAAAATCAATTTTTAAACAATTACTGGATGAGACCCTAAGTGGGTTTTGATCACTAAATGCACTCAGAGAAAAAGGATAGCTTTAACCTAAGTGACTAGGGTTTTTTGTGTGGACAAATTCCAGAAATCAATTGTCTTCAATCCATTTTTTCCCTTCCTTTCTTCTCTCGCTCTCATTCCACTCTGGAAAAAACAGACACCATTTTCTAGAAACAATGTCAGCAAGGTGCAAGGCAGTGAAGGATTCCTATCCTTGAAAAAAGGGGGAAATAAAATTATTTGCATCCCATTAATTATAATATAAGGATGTCAAATAATTGTTTTCCTGAACCCGTAAACAGAAAGAAGAAACCAGTTAGTTTCTCCAAAAATGAATACTTGGACTTTGTTTAATCATAACCCACTACTAGTCTTTCCGTTATTTGGTCTCACATCTGAGCCATGTGCAGTTTCCCAAAGACATCTAACATCATAGTCTGTAGGTCTCATTTATAATATTAACCACCAAGCCTCTGTTTTTGGCATTGCCCAACTTTTATGCCATCCAATATTTTCATGGTACCGAAGTTTTAGTTCTTCTCTAACCCTCTCAGACAAGTTCTTCTGAGCTCAAACAAGCTGGAGGAGAAGTAAGTACTGGGCCCTCTATGTGATGGTTGCCCAGCTTCTACTTTCAGGAGAAGGGCCAAGTCTAGGTCTCCTCACAGATGAGAAGGATGCTTTGGGGCTTGCTCCCTGATGGCTCTGTCTGTGCTGGTGAGAAACAAAGTCACACTGCTCTGACATTCATTGTCTAGAAATGTGGCTCCCTGTGAGAAGACGGGTACTTTTAGCTAGTAATCAAATCTCACTCTTTTTGTAATTCCCTAGGTGCCAGCAGCATTTTGTAAGTATTTGTCACCTAAATCAATCAGAGATCAATCAATTATAAAATGGCTGGGCAAATATAATATCACAATTCAGAGAAAGCACACAGAAAACCCTGAGACCCTATGGGTGAACATCTCCATTCAGGACAGCACCTGTGTATGTCATTATATACGTGACGGCACTGTAGGGTACTGTTAGGCAGAAGGTGCCCTCAGAAAGACAACCTTCACTACAGCCTGTCACACACCCATGGAAGACTACCAGAAAGCAAAGCACACTGTATACCAACAGAGTCCTGTGTTTATTTTTTAAACTAAATCTATTCAAATGGCTCCTACCACAAAGAAAAATGGGTGAAAAACCAAGCTAACTGATGGAGTGTGAAGATTTGGATAAAATGTTAAATGTATGTCAACATATGTACAGAATCTATTTGATAAAGCTGCTAACTACAAAAATGCAATGCTCAACAAAGAAGAAAAAGAGAAAAAATGTGGATTCTAGTGTGACAAGGACAAAATGGAAAATGTAAGTGAAACTTTAAACAGCAGTCTGAAGAGTGTTGCATAAAAGACAATCAGGATACTGATTTGTTTTTCAAACTTGAGAGAATGTGAGAAAGACAGCAGTATATAGTCCTTGCTTACAATCAAGTATTTGCTGCCCAACGGGTTGTTACTTACATAGTGAAAATGAATCCAGTTCTTTAGCTAGTCAGGAGAGCATGAATTTTGTCAGAAGCAGCTTAGTACAAACCAAGAGCCATGTTACATCTTGACAACAGCATTCCTTTTCTGGCCTTTATATTTAGGTGCAGATGCTGGATTGTACCCATGCTGACAGGGGAAGGGTTTTCACAGTACATGGCCAGTTCTGTAGAGCAAAAACAAACACTTAGAGAAATACCACCAAGCCAGTCAAAATTAAGATTAAAAACTAAGAAAAGTGGGGCTGGGAACAAAGTTACGTCTGTAAAGAACTTGTTATTAAACTTGTTATAAAACAATGAGGACTTGGCATTTGGTCCACAGGACCAAAGTTTAAAAAACACACAACAGCAACAGCGAAGTATATGATGGTGTTCCACTGTAATACTAGCAATGGAGAGAGATATTGGTGTATTCCTTGGGCTTGCTGACTAGTCAGCCTCCTCTAATTGATGAGTTTCCACAAGAGCACATGTCTTAAAAAAAAAAAAGGTAGACTGCACCCAAGGACAACATTGGTGGTTAACTTCTGGCCTATTCATCAAATGAGAGGGAAACATCAGGGAAAGATTAATGAGGGGGAATCTGCTTTCAATTGGAAATCATCTATTTTTATACTGCATAATATGCAATACATAAAGGAAGGTGGATACTAGAAAGTGTCACCATTACTGACAAAGTATGAGGAGGGAAGACAGCCACTGCAGCAAAAGCAGAAACATGGTTAAGAGCAGACAGGTACCCTGACATTCCACAGTGGGGCCATCAGATTCCTGAATGGCTGTTCTTAACTATGCAGAAGACGGGAAAACCTGAAAGGTTGGGAAGAGAGTGGAGTGACTCTGGGAAGACAGGGGCATGACTTTGATGAGTTTAATTAAAAGTTAGAAAAGGATGGAGTTCAGAGTCTACAAGAAAGGGAAAATTAATCCTAAGCCTGGGGGAAGGCAAGAGATGAAGGAAGAAGGTCTTTCTTCTTGAGCAGAGGAACAGACTTCATTACTAGGTTGAAAGGGGAAATAACAGGATTAAAATTGCTGTTTATATTGATGGTAACTAACACAGGGGAAATCTGGTTCCTCTTTCTGTGAGGGGCAAAAGGGGTCAGGAGAGGTGTGCCTTGAAAGGATTGACTGGAAGTGAGGTAGGGCTGGATGTGTGGGTCAATGTGCCCTAGGAATGGAACTCTCAGTTTATAAAAGAGAGGCCTGGGGTGAAACTCAGTGGCACTCTAGCATCATGTGAGGCCTTGGCTTCCATAACCAGCTCCCTACTCTAGAAAAGACTGCATTTTCCTGGGCTCCTGGCTGCAAGCCTCTAACCCCATGTGGTTCTCCTAACTATGCTATCAAGACTGGTTCAGATTCTCCTGGGAAATTACTAAGCATTTCCTGACATTACTCTGATGATCAAACTCTCTGTAGTTTGGGGAACTAAGTGGAGAAGAATAATCCCAAACATGGTCCTTCTTTTCCTTTCCCATCTTAAAAGTGCTAGTGCTAACATGGAAATCCCACACAGACTGGAGAGGGCTATCATGCCCGTCACCACATTTCTTCCAGAGATGTCCCTATGAATACCAGCAGGGAACAGAATCATTAGTGAAAAAAGAGCAAAATGGAACGAAAAGAAAAGAATTTTCCTTGACTGAGTTTCATTTCCACACAGAATCTTATATTCTTTGTTCACCCTTCAACCAGAATACAAGCCACCAACCGACCAAACAAACAAAGCAGCCCGAAGTTCTTTGACTCTATTACAAATAAGAAATGTGCATTGCACCATCTCCCTACAAATATAAAAATTCTGAGAAATCTAGTAGGCAAGAACCATATTTGATGGTGTCCTTTCATTTTCATAGTTACTTGCCCACAGATTTCTCCTCATAGCCCCCTCAAAACATCTCCCAGGGTACTGAATGCTATACCCAGATGCCTCATAGTTTATCACATATGCTGACAAGTTTGGGTGGCAAATTATGTAATGAGTGCTTGGGAATCATTTTCCTCAAAAACCACAAATGGGAAAAAGTAAGAGAGACAAAGAAGGACATTTAGCCTGACAAATACCTGGAGAATAAATATGCTACCAATATAGCACAGGTACAAAAAGATACCAGGTATGGATCAGTTTTCCAGGGAAAGAAACCTTCAATAGCGGCTGCCTTTACCTGTGGTTTTGTGAATCATCTGAAACCACCTATTTATTATTTAGTGTGCTTGTAGGAAGAACTGGAAATGAGCTCAGAGCCTTGGCCAAATAGTCAATGATGAGTTTGTGAAAATAACAAGGTGTATGGAGCAAGTAGCAAGAGAATGGTGACCTTGCTCACCAAAGGGACACAAGGGTTCCGTGATCCAGGAAACATCTTGGCATTTCTAAGCTTATTTATTCTTCAGTCAAAAGAAAATAATACTGAGCCACATAACCACAGAAACGCTTGCACACAATGAGATAGGTAGGTAGCTTACAAGCTGAGGCCAGTTCCTGAAGCTTCGCCTTGCTGCATAGGAGCCCTACAACAATGGTGTAATCGTGTTTCTAAAGCCAGCATGCAGCTGCTCTACCAATTTCAAGTAGGGAGGACACTTTGTAAAAACAAATGCATTCATTTACATGGCAATGGGTGGTGAAAGATCTGGGTGGCTACAGACTACATTCACTGTTGAACTCTGTATGTTCACCTATCCTAGAAAGTTCTATATTTCTATACCAAAACCATTAAAACTCTGGTTTTCCTTCCCTAAGAGACAGTAAATCTAGATTTTACCAAACAGGGACATTTTCAAACCCACCATCTACTGTAATAATGATATCTTGTTTTCTTCACATTCTTCTAAAATCAAGGAATAATCAACATGCAATAAACCACACATGATTAAATTAGATGATCTGGAGGTGTGGATTACAGAATCACCCATGAAACATCAGCATAAATAAGAAAGTAAAATTATCCACTAGACCTGGTTTCCCTGTGACCTATTCCAGCCCTTCCCTCTTACTATCCACATCTCTGTTCTCCACTTAATGCCATCCCTCATCTTTCTGCCATCTTTCTGCATTTCCTAGAAATTTGGCTAAATGGCATCACATTCAGTGTCTCATAAGGGTCTCTCATTTTATTTTAAGGCTGTAACTTTTTCCATTACTGAGCAATATCCATTGAGATACACCATGATTTGTTTGTCTATTAAGTTGCAGTTGGACATTTTGGGTTTTCTAGTTCTTGACCATAACTAATAAAACTTGTATAAACATTCGCATACACATGGCTTTCACGTCCCTCTAAACAGGAAAGCTTGATTTTGTATTTTGACATCCTAAGAAACTGCCAAATTGTCTTCTAAAATATTTTTACCATTCCACATTTCTTCCTAAATATCTGAGCCCTAAAGCTCTGCATTCTTAACTTGCACTTGATTGTCAGCACTTAACATTTGATCCATTCAACTAGTGTGTAGTTTTCATGTACATTTCCCTAATGACTAATGATGATGAATACCTTTTATGCACTTATCTATACAATAGGGGTATCTTCTTTAGTGAAAAGTCTATTGAAATGCTTTGCCTATGTTTTAATCTTGCTACTTTCTTATTATTGAAAATGTTATCAGTTTCTGAGTGATTGAAACAAAATCAATTTTTACAAAATTAATGGTACACCAGTAAATAATTTCCAAAAAATTCTAAAACCTGTTATGTTTATGATGAGCTTGAAACTCTCCTAAAGCTTGAAAAGAATTTAAATTATTTATGACTATTTCAAACTCTAGAAAACTTAGTGAATGAAGTAATCCAATACACTACATGGTACCCCCCCCCCAAAAAAAAACACACTGGTTACTACTATGAAAAATTTCCCAATTTTCAATAAGTCCCATTTCAAATCCTCTAATTATACTCTAGTCTTATTGATTCTATTTTACAAAACAATAAATCTCCTGTTTCAAACTCAGGCACATACGTGAATGTAAAGAAAGTTAAAACCCGTGTTGCATTGTTTGTGCACATGGTGGCAGATAAAAAAAAAGTGACATGCAAATAAGAACATGAATGCCCAGTTGAGATATGTTAACTGGCAGCTAAACTGGAGGGCAGTTCTAGGGATTGCTCTGAGGGAAAACAGGACTGGCTGTGTTGTGTGGCACCAGCAGGTTACAGTTGATGTGGGTTTCCTTTTAGATGCCTGGAAAATGACTCTGCTGACCACATCCACATTCTGAAATACTTTTTGAGAACTTGTAACCAAACTGCAGGAACTGACTCATTTTGCAGTGCCCAGCCACCACCACACAATCGTTTCGAGGAGACTCAAGTCGAAGGCAGAAACACTAAGGTTTCAGAATACAGGCAGAAAGTTGTCTGGATTTACATGGGAGGAGGGGGAAATCCCAGGGCACAGAGAACAAGGATGGGGTGGGTGCAGGAGATTAGGTCTTTGAAGAAGGACTGAGCACAACACAATCCTGACAAGACAAAACATGTACTGTTGTCTTCAAGGCAAGAAATCATCAATTTCTAGAAAGAAAGTGAATCCAGTGGAGAGATGTACACAGGATGATTTCACACAAAATGTTGCCTTAAAAGGCCATTCCTGAATTCATCTTCCTCATCTAGTCAGCAAAGTGATGCCCAATCAAAAGCACTCCCTTGCTTCATAGGATGTACGCAGGAAAGGACAGCATGTCTGGAACACCAGGAAGAATGAAGGGCTGTCACCTGGTCTTGCAACCAGAGATTTGTCCCCTGGGACTCCCCACCACCACCTCCCTGTCCATTTTTCCATCTTCCTCTTGGCTTCATTTGCAATGCTTCCAAAGGCATGGGTGGCCCAAGCCTCTCTCTGTTTTCATATCAAGTTCTTGAGTCAGGAAAAAAAGCAGCACACATAGCCCTTCTCACTGACACCACACTGTTCCAAAAGTATGCAATTCTCCTCGGCACAAGTGAAACAGATCAGTCAGTTTCAGCCAGAGGCAAACTATAAACAACAAAACCAATAAGTCTTTTTTGCAGGTGGGCCCCTTGTTAAAAAGAACTCAGGGTTAACAGGAGTGCATCCCTAACTAGTCAGGCCAGATGATAAGAAGTTTGGATAAAGGCTCAGGTATCATGAAATAAGATCTACTTAGGTAAGATCTATGAGTCCTATTTGTTGTCAGGTCT